CGTTCATGGCGATGTGGAGTTGTTGGAACAATGCATGGATAATTTCTAGATGCTTCTTGCCTCATCCAGCTGTCCATATTTATGCCGTCGCCTGCGAAAATAATGAGCTAGAATTAATTTTGTAATTCATTGAGCATCTAACGATATTGCTAACCATATCGTTCACTGCCTAATTGAATATGGGTTTACTTTAAAAAAAAACATGTATGCCATATACACATTCAAAAGATAATTTTATATTTTTAACAAGACGCTTTATAGTTCTACTAATATAAAACCAAATTTGAAGTATGTTTTTAATGCATGATATCATGACTGCTTTAGTTTTAATTTTTTTCTTCACGGGATTTTTAATTATATTTCAAGTTATTGATTTCGATTTATATATCTCAAATATTGACAGGTAAATTTTAATTTGGGTTGGACAATAAAGCGAGCAAAATGTCCCACATATTTACTTGAAATGTTTGCTCTTTTTGAATTGTACTTCCGAATGTTTGAAATATAAGGTTGAGTCTTGCTTGATATTTAGGACATTTTTTGGAAGAAATTAGATTCATTTTAGTTACTTTAAAAATTAGAATATCAAGTCCTAGAATAATCTAATTTCTATGGATATTAAGAAGTTGAGAAATCGTGCGTTGAGTCATGTGTATTTTAACGACCGTCCTTTTTTGGTCCTAGAGCGTTGTTGGTCCATTGGGAGAAAACCTTTGTTGACAGCACTAAAGCACTCCTTACATAGATATCTTATATATACTAGATAGCACATCTCTTTTAATAAAATTGAAGCCAAGAATATTTCAGCGGTTACCCCCATTTGAATAGATGGCGGCCATGTTGGCGTTTCCCACTCGCTAATAAACGCTTAAAAACAACAATAACTTTCATCATCCGAATAGTTTGAAAATGTATTTGGAAGTTCCCTGTTTAAGAAATAGAGAACATACGAGTCTTCTCATTTCATGGGAATATCCTGAGTCTGCAATCACGGCTGCAATTTTTGAATTGCAGAATACCAGGTGATCTCGTGTTCGTATTTTAGCCAATCAGCGCTCAGAAAGGGTTGTCCGAATAGAAATCCATTTTGATGTATTCAGTCAATTATATCTTTCGTTATTCTTTATGAAACTAGTTGAAATTTTGTAATT